GTCAGTGCACATTTCCCAGAATGTGTGATTCGACGTGGAGAATGGGGAGGTCTATGACGCGAACGTCTTCCAACAGAAAATGATTTGCAAGCTACACATTGGTGGAAGTGGGAGAATGCATTCCAGAAGGGGCACTTACAAATCCAAAATTATTGATGCTGATGTATTTCTTGTCTGAGGGCCACGGCTGCTGAAAAGTCGGTACCTGAGATTGAGCCCTGCATCAGCCTCCGGTTCACGAACTCAATTTCACTCAAGCGAAAATTACAAAATCTAGGATGGGAGAGGGCGACGGGGACGAATCTTATTCGCGTGGTAACTTACCTTCATGTTCCATTCGGACAACGGAATGTTCTCATTAGGTGTTTTGAAGTTGGTGTTGGGAAGAATGAAGCCCTTTTCCAGCATCATGGCAGCTTTGATAACGGCAACGACTCCACTGGCGTTCTCCAGATGACCAACGTTGCTTTTGACCGACCCAAGCTGGAGAGGGTTCTTGGGAGTCCTGCCTTCAGAGAACACGTTGTGAATAGCCGTCGCCTCGATGGGATCCCCAACCTTGGTCCCAGTGCCTGAGAAGGTCAGTAAGTTTTCTAATAGAACGGATTTTCTGTAATATGACTGACCATGCGCTTCGACGAAGCCCACATCCTTCGGGCTGATGCCGGCACGGTCGTATACCTCACGCATTAATTGTTCTTGGGCCTTTCCACTGGGCGAGGTGATACCTGCGATGAATGTTGTTAGTGATGAAATCTGGATAAAATTTCTCATTGGCGAATGGTATCTTGGCCCAAGATATTGGGTAAGTCTGGCACAATCTAATAGTCATGCAGTCTGGGAGGATCATTGCTGAAGGAATGATTGCCCATCGGATGCTGCGAACACAATGTAACACATACCGACAGTCCGGCCGTCCTGGCCGACGCCTGAGCTCACAATCACAGATCGTATGCGATCATTGTCGTCGATGGCATTCTGGGCAGCTTTGAGCACTAGGACGCCAACACCTTCACCTCGAGCAAAGCCAGATTTGGCACGATTATCGAAAGCGAAAGTCATGCCCTGCTCGGAGAATAGCCTGTCTCGCAGCGCAGATATTTAGCAGTAGCTACAGGACTGGAATTTTCCTGGAAAATATTTTTACGTGGGAGTCTGACTTACCTGGATAAGCTCATGGAAATCCAATCTCCAGGCTGAAGGTTGAGGTGACATGCAGCCACAATGGCTTGGTCAGACTCTCCATTGCGAATGCTTTGAACTGCTTGATGCAAAGCGTAGAGGGAGGAACTGCATGCTGTATCAACACTGAAGCTGGGGCCTCGTAGGTCGAAGTAATGCGATATCCGGCCAGCTTGAATAGACTGCTGATTGCCTGTGGCGTCGAACATTGGCGTCTGCTCCGGGTCTCGTAATGTGCCAAGACGGTAGTCTGAAGCAGCTCCTCCCACGAACACGCCGACTTTCTTGCCTACAAGAGACTCTTTGGGGATGCCTGCGTTTTCCAAAGCTTCATAAGTGCATTCAAGAAGCATTCTCTGCTGCGGATCTTCAAGGTACGTAACATGTTAGAATTCCTGGCAGTTTATGGATAGAGGACAGAGACATACCCATTGCCTCCGCTTCACCCCTTGTAATGTTGAAGAATGGTGCATCGAATAGAGCAGGATCTTGTTTGAGGAAGTAACCTCCTCGTGGATTGAAGGCTCCCTTCTTCGCAGGGTTGGGATGCCAGAAAGCATCTTTGCTGAATCGGTCTTCAGGAATCTCTGACCAGCCATTACGTCCTCGGCAGATCATCTGCCAGAAGTCTTCCAAAGACGAAACGTCACCGGACAGACGGCATGCCATGCCAGTGATGGCTACAGGAGCAGGGGTTTTGGCCATGGCATCACCAGCTGACGAGACCCCATGACAGCCTTTTGGGTCTTGGTCGTGGCCACCGGAGGTCATTTTGAGAATTGGTTGACTGTATATGGTGTCCAGGATGGACACACCAATTCTTTTCTCGTGGACATGAAAGGGAGAACTTGGAGCCCAGGGACAAACGTATGTTGAAAACTTTTGGGACGAACGTTATATTGTCAGACAGAGACCTCGGGAAAGGGCCACATAGTACCTTTATCACAACAACCACACGCTTCGAAACGAAAAGTGGAGAAAACCAGGCAGATTTGTACCCTTCAATCCAGCCTTGACGACGGACAAGAAGCAAGACGCCGACAAGTGAGAGATCAGCACCTTCCGAATCTGACCAGGTAGAGAGATTCTCGAGGATGATTGAGGATCAGGGCTCAAATTGTTGATTGCGATGTCAGCCCCCAGAGCGCTTGATTCTTGATATGCATACAGAACAGGTATTATGTTCTAGTAAGGTACCCAATAGACTATGTAGGCACATATTCAAATGCACTATCTCACAACCACATCTCAGCTGTCTTGTGATTGACACAATCCACAGACTTCAGACCCACGATGGAAAGAAACCTCATGCTCCTGAAGTCTTGCTGATACCTAGGTAGATCTTCCTTACTGCTAACCCCCAGGACGTCGTCTTCGCAAATTCCGACCCCGAGCGCCGAAGAGGACATAATAGCAGAGTCTCAATTGTTTTCTGGAAGAACGGCAGGAAAGTATTGGGTAGTAATCTCGTCTTCCTATTGGCTTCGGGATCATGTGCAATCTAAACAACGAGTAGAAACGGTCTTCGGCGGTACAGCTTTGCAGGGGTGCTATATTACTTACCAGTGTCATATACGGTCGATCTTCTGGACTTCATCCCCTGCGTCTTTCATAAATACCTACCTACCTACCAATGTATCTACGGCCACAAAGTGGATCAGTGATAACCTTCTTCATATGCATATAAGGTTGCCGTCCCAGCCGCATGGAAACTTGGTCTTGGCGCTCGGGACCCGAGATCCGCTAGACCTGACTACGACAACACTGCCTGCGATGTCGTGCTCTCCTGCGGTGCAACTAGACGAGTCTAGACTGCGACAAACAGCGAGGAGCCTTTGTATGTGGCGGAGGGGGGGAGTGACCCCCAAAATTCAGTTGCTCGAAATCTTTGCGGCCCCTTGTAGGATTTGCCATGGTCGTACATGCAAGGTCGATCGCGACGACCTCATTCTGGAAGTCCGAGCAATGGATCCCTTGCAGTGGAAGGGCGCTCGATCTACGGGCGTGACGTTCTCTTGAACGGTTGAGGAAGGACGCTATGTAACAAATAAATTGAAGCTTTTGCGCTCGACCGTATGGAGAAGGCTCGTCGTTATCACAGGAATTGAGCCATAATACGACGTCGGTAATGCTTTTCGACGCCCTTATTCAGCCTCGTAAAACAATCGTCCAAGGATTCTCCGCCGAATACTCGTTCCTCGTCCAAGCCAAGCTCCCAGTGTTGATGCTGATTCATGAATGTTTAATAGACTTCATTACGACTTTTGACTCTCCTGGTTTATCTTGTCGAGCTGCCAACTTTGTAATTACGACCTACGTCACAACCCAAGTAGACTGCTCACACCCTATCAAGCATTTTCTGAGAGGACGTATTCAGTATGAAGATTTTGTGCCTCCCGGGGGCGTATGGAAGCGCAAAGGTATGGTGAAAATCTTCATTTCAGGCATGCGATCTTACAACTGTGCTAATAAGCCCTCCCATCGTTCATAGAACTTCCAAGTACAACTCGGCTCATTTGTCGCTGAGACAGAAAAGAGAGGCAACGCTGAGTTCGTATGGACACAAGGAACGCGCGAAGCAATCCCCCCTCCCGGGTTCGAGGATTACTTTGGAGCTGGACCGCTCTGGCGTTTCATTGACTACGATGGAAGCAAGGCATTCGATATTGTGGACAGAATCCGCGAGTTCCCTCAAGGTCCCAATGCCGAAGCCACTATGCGACTCTTGATGGGTGACCAACCATCATATGCGCTGTCGAGTGTTCAAGAGGCCATCCACAGATTGTTGGACATTATTGATGCGGACCCTGAGATAGAGGTGTGTATTCAAGTAGCTATTTAAATCTTCCTTTGTGAACTCCCACGCAAACCTGCCCTACAAACACACTTACAAATTTATAGGGCATCTTGGGATACTCGGAGGGTGCGACCACTGCTGCTACACTTATCCTTGAAGAGCGCAGGCTATGGGATGTTGAGAAAAGACCACGAAGAATCAAGGTGGGTCACATGCAATGCAGCGTTTCTGCGCTTGCGAGATGACCACTGACAACTACATAGCGTGCTATCTTCTTCGCAGGCTGGCCGCCGCTGTCCATGGCAGGTGGCAAGATCCAGGTCTTGCTAGCTGACCAAGACAAAGATGTGATTGACATACCAAGTCTCCACGTTATCGGTTGCAATGACCCATACATCTCAGGCGCCGTGGCTCTATACAATATGTGCGACCGGGACACTGCCGAGATTTTTGACCATGGCAAAGGTCACACTGTGCCAAGAGACGCAAGGACGATACAGGAGCTCTGCGATGCTATCGAAAGACTCACAACTGCGTCCACAAGTTTTGACACAGGAGAGCATGGAGGTGTGGGAAGTTTGAACATTATGAGTGCTGTACAAGTCTGATAGAAGATAGCCGTGGCCGCCAGATGGATTACAGACATTGAGCGTCTGGTAATTACCCGGAGCGAAAACTTCGCATGATTCAGGGTCATGTGCTGGGCTGGATATACCTTTTTCAAGATGTTTACGGATTGTGGTGAGATTGGACTTATCTTTAGCACCTCAGCACGTAGCCATATGAGATGGCAGAGACAAATATGGAAGATCTCTGACACTGAAGTTTTCCACCCAACACAATGGAGCCGAATAGCCCCTGATCCTAAAGCTCACAAGAGACCTCGCCGTCGTGCGAGCAAAATGTGGAACAGTAACGGACTTCTTTGCCCTGGGCCCTCTTCATAAGAATAGAAGCAATATCCAACGCCAACCTCACGACCCATCCACCCCCAACCCAACAATGAACAACAAAGCTTCAAGGCCGTTTAGCTTAGCAGTCAAAGCGCCGGACCTTTATACCACCGCCTCATTCCCCCCAACCGCAGTGACTTCAGAAAACCCGGAGACCGCAGGTTCAATTCCTGTAACGGCTACTCTTTCTGATGCTGCTGCTGCTGTTGCTGTCGTTGTATCCAAATCTGGCACGCCTCCTCCTCCTCCTCGTCGTCGTCGTCTTCGTATCCAAGCAATCCCAAACCAAAACAGACGAAGACCCGACGTCCACACATGCTCGGGCGCAAATCGTTGTAGCCGGCCCGCTCGATCGAGGTTGCGGAGATGTGTGTAGAGGATGATGGCAAGGGTGGTGAGGAGGATGTGGATTAGGATAGCGGTTGTGATGGCGGTTGTGGCGGACATTTTCCCTTGGGATGGTTTACACAAAGTATGCTAATGCCGAATGCGAAATTTATCTATTTGAAGTATATCCTCTTCCTAGGTTAAACAGGAGGAAATATGTGAATAGGAATAATATATCAGGCTGGTGAGATGCTGCCACGTATCTGTTACTGTCATCCATGATGGACTCGAAATATCTAGGCACTGGGGGTGTTGAGTCACACACACAACACACATACACGAGTATGTGTCCTCAAACTTGATAGTCCAAAGGTAGAGAACAATTGTCAAGAGAGGATACGCTCACTGCCCATGATGCAAGGTGTCCAATAGTATTGATTGGTACCCAGCCTTGGCCGGAAAAGGATTGCAGCCAGGCAGCAAAGTCCCTCGGGCTGTATGCCGGAAATGTAGTTCTGCTTATTATCAGCTGCTGCCTCTTTGTACCGAAAGAAGACTGCTGAAGGGGAAAAAAAGGCCCCTTCTGCGCATAATTTGCTGTGAGAGCGCCTAAAAAGAACAAAGATCAACTGCAAGCACAGTACCGTACTACACACCGTAGCGCCGTATGTTGGGATCCATTCTGAAAGCTATCAAGATACCCATTTACATATAGCACAGTAAAAGCAAACCTTCCAATCAACCAAGCGAATTCTATGGTGATTTTTTCTTAACCGTCGCCGTTCTTCCTCCCATTCCACACCCCGCCTTGCTCCTAACCAAAGTGGATGCTACCAAGCTCCATCGCCCATACCCTCCATCCCTTCCAGCATACCGCCCCAGCTCCTAAAGACAAGCAACTCAACCACGTCAGTTTGCACTGCAAAGCCATTCTGCTCAAGCAACATGTCAGTCTTTGCAGCTTTCGCCGAGCACGCAACATCAACCTGCCTACATACCACCACAACACCGGACAAAATGCACGGTTCGAAACCTCGCTCGCTTTCTCTATGCTGCTGGAATATATGTACGTATTACACGCTATGCCAATATGCACAACAAAACAGATCCAGTATCGTACGTATGCGCGGTTCCAAATCATCCCTCTAGCGCCCCAAAAGCAACAGCATCCTTTAAGAAGCTTTGTGAGAGCTCCATACTCGTCATCTCCAGTGCTTTCAGGATCTTGTCGCTCCTCGGCACCACATTTGGTGGGATTGAGTTGGCCGACTCATTTACATCACGGGCCTTCTCGCTCAATTTCCGCAGCATCGAAGTGCCAGTAGCCGCGATGTAAAGCAACTCAGGATCCTTCTTGGGTTGACTTCGAGGCTGGCCTATCGGCCGAATGGTAGGACGTTCGAATTCCAAGACAAGCTCACGCACAATTCGGAAGAGATTTTGCGCGAGCCCGTTGCCAGCCGAAAGCCATGTGCGCGTGATGGTGGGATCGGAGTCGGGTACTAGTGACGCAAGAATGTTGGCGGCGAGCAAACCTTGCATGACATAGGGCTTGCGAGCCTCGATGTACGATGGTTGGCCAGGAGGGCGGATATCGCGGCCTGTGTCGGGGATTGGTGAGATGGCAAGGCCGAAGGTCCGGGTGATCAGTTCATTTGGCTGGGAGGAAGCCGCATCTAGGGCGAAGATGTTCTTGTAGTGCGTCCTGTTTGGCTCGTCTCGCGCGAAAAGCTTCGCCAGTACGTCAACAGCGTGAGGTAAGTACGGATGCAGTACAGGCTCAAACGAGGCAAAATAAATCTTGCCTGCATCGGCAAGATGCGGAGCTGGGGTCGGTGCGAAAGATAGAACAAATTGCAGGAGATAATAGGCCTGCTCGCGCTCGGGAATCGAGATGTAATTGGCGATGTTCGACAACAAGACCACTATGTCCTTCATGAGATCGAGGGTAATGGCGTGAGTTCGCAGAAGCATGTTCCTTGTGCCGAGATACCTAATGACGACACAGAGAAACTTGATCAGAGACTCATTCTCCGCCAAAACTGGCTGGTTCCCAGGAAAGAAGGACAGGTTGCGGAGATTTGTGGTAATGCAAAGTAGTCGGTCGGCCGCATGATCCAGCTCGTATTCCTGGGTCCCCATCACATGTATTGCCTTGATGGCCAGCTGCTCTAGGCGGCACGCCCTGAAGACATCTTCATATGGGCTGATAAGAACCTCGTCCGATAGTTCCTCGGAATGTTCAGCGAGCAATTCGACCTGATCCTCAGCACATTCCAACAGCGTCTCCAGGAGCTCTTCCAGCTTCGCCAATTCAAGATCAACAGCCTGCTGTGGGCCTGTCAACGTCGTCAATGTGTCCAAGGCTAGACGAACTTCAGCATGTATGCCGCATTGTAAACTCTTGGTCAGGGCGTGAAGATCGATGTTGCCCAACTGGTTGACTGGTGGAATGTCGGGTTTCCAATGTTGATATTCCTGCCCGAGCTTAGCGGCTATTTCAACATTGACACCGCCATGAGTTCCGCCCTCGGCCACGTAACGAGAGCAAGGTTGGTACTCATCTGGCTCCTTTGCAAATGGTGCAGGGAATTGCATGCGCTGCGCTTCTGGGGCCGTAGCTTGCCCTTCAGGATGTGCGCTGCTGGGCAGTGACATGCTACCGTGCTTACTAGCTGGTGAAGGCACAGCAAATTCCTCATGGCTGGGCGTTTGGCTCTTTGAGATGCTTCCACGGCCTTGACTCTGAAGACTTGGCTGTGGATGAGGAGGATGTGGCGCCGAGAAGCCGTTAACGCCCGCCGGCATGCCTCCAGGTGGCATCTGCTTCACAGGCGACTGCATCTGACCCTGCTGCATGGGCACAGGTTGGCCGGGTTGTGGCATGCCAGGCTGCATTTGGCCTGGTGGCATCTGGCCTGGTATAGGCATTTTCTGTGGCCCGCCCGGCATGTTTTGCCCACCTTGCTGCTGTTGTTGTTGCTGTTGACCTCGCATTGCACGATAATGCTGCTCGAATGCTCTTAGTGTTCTCTCATATAGCATTTTGACTTGTTGAGGTGCCATGGGCAACTGCGTGTGGTTGAAGCCAAGCGCGTTTGCCATGTGGGGCCATCGATTTGATTGCGATACAAAGTCATAGCCGCCATTCTTGAAAACGTATTGGAAGAGCTGCATGAGGTTGATGGGCCGGTCGCAAACCAGCGGATTCGGGTCGAATGGTAACTGCTTGGATTGCATGAACGCAGCAAGCTGTTTCAGGAAGGGCTCCGGTGTCGTCAGGTTTCGCAGTTGTGGCTGCTGCTGTGGATGTTGCGGTGCCATGCCGGGTTGCTGTGGTCGCATTGGGGAGTTGACGCTGGATGGGATTTGGCCGTTGGACATTTGTTGCTGTCGTGCCATCATACTCCGCTGTTGGTGCGCGGCTTGTGCTTGGGCTTGTTGCTGCGCCTGAACCTGCGACATGTTTTGCCCTGGCACTTGGCCTTGCATCTGTGACGGCATGGGCATGTTGCCCATCTGCTGCGGCTGCTGCGAGTGTTGTTGTTGTTGTTGCTGCTGCTGCTGCTGTTGCTGCTGCTGCTGTTGGCGCTGCTGCATTTGCTGTTGCATTTGAAGGTACATCTTTTGCTGGTCCATACGGCCTTGTGGCATGCCTTGTGGATACATCTGGCCCGGTATCTGACCCATCTGGCCCATCTGTTGTTGCATCTGTTGCATCTGAGCCATCTGCGCCATCTGTTGGCCTCCCATCTGGCCCATGCCCATCTGCCCCGGCTGCATCATACCCGGTTGCATCTGGCCCATCTGCTGCGGCATCATCTGTTGACCCATTGTATTCGGTGTGGAAGGGGGACGAGCAGGCGAGGGACTCGGCGTATTGAAGTTGGGGTTGAAGCCCGGGGGAAAATTCCCAGGCTGCATTCCCTGCTGTTGCATGTAGCTGTTCGGTTGAGGCGTCCCGCCATGATCGCTGGGTATTGGCGATGGCTGTGCGAATTGTTGAGCTTGGGCGGCGGGGGAGAACGGATGAGGCGACGTTGTGGAGACGCGCTGCGGCACACTACCAGGTCGCATTTGGTTGCTGCCCATGATGGGAGACGGCGTGGCATTGGCAGAGCCATTGGCTTGAAGGTGCGGATAAGGCGAGGGTTGTCCCGATCCTGGCTGTAAGGTGCCCTGTTGAAAACCTGGAAAGCCGGGTTGCTGTGGTGTGTCAGCGCGCGATGTTGGCAACATGCCCGGGTTCGGTCGCGGCGATCCGGCAATGCTGCCCTCACTCGGACGTGGCCTCTTGGAAGGGATGACAGAGTTTGTCGTGTACATGGGATTCGGAAAAGATGGCGACGCGTTGCGCATCTGATTGTTTTGCATGGCAAGCATCTGCGCTTGAGCCTGCGCCTGAGAGAATTGGCCCTGATTGAACTGGGCGGCGCCAGGGTTGTTCATGAAGGCGGAAGGATCCATCATGCCGGGATTTACGTTCTGAGGCTGGGCAGCGTTCGGATTATTGATGTGTGGAAAAGCATTGCCATTGTTATGGGTGGGGACACTGGCGTCGTTCATGCCCCAGGAGGTCATGGCTGGGTGTGCACGGCGACGATTCGCGGGGACTGGCGCGATGTCGCGGGTATTAGAGACGAGCTCAATGTTAAGACGCGACAGCTGGGATGCCGGTGGGGATGATGATGGTCTTGGCTGTGGTCGTGGTGGTTATGGTAGAAGGACAGAGGACGAGTGTGGTCGCTGAACCCATCTGGCTGGATCGCCTTGGGTCGCGAAATGCTCTTGTCAATTCGAGTCTGTAGAGGGGGGAGCAAGGAATATTAGACACAATCAATCATCAAAATAATGG